TTGAGGAGCTACGTAGGCAGGTGCAAAAGTAATTGTGGTTTTCACCATTGCAAGTAATGGCAAGAACCGTAATTTTGTACCAACTGAATAGAATTTTAGGAGAAGAAAAAGTATTTATATTAAATGGCAGTAAGTACTATAAAGGAAATAAAAAGGGCAGTGTTCTTCATTCAGCCTAGTCTAATGGATTATTGAGATAAGAAAAGCAATTACACTATAACAGTAAAAATGATAGGGAAAGTGGAAAATGCATTTAGAGGTGTTAAGTGCCTACTGTGTTCCAGACGCTGATCAAGATACTGGGGGATTCTTCTTCCCAAAACTCTGTTTAGAATCTGCACTTTTCTGAATTCCTGTAGCTGTAGTATGTTGTCCCTGTATTCTCTTGCTGTCCATAAAAGCCATTCTCCACAGTGGCTCCTTAAATCCTTCTTCTGTCTCTTTGACGTGGCATACGAGGCTTTTTGTGGCCTGGTCTCTGGCTGTTTCTCTGATATTTTATATATTTTCTATGATGACTATGTTCCAATCACATTTTTTTTTAATTTCTTTAACACAGATCATGCCCATCTTAGGTCTTTCTACTTCTTAGTTCTTCTGCCTAGAACACTTCTTCCAGGTCCTTGTATTTTAGTCTTTCCCATCTAGATTTAAGCACAAATGTTGCCTTCTTATAGAGTATTCTCTGGTTACTCAATACAAAGTATTCTCACAGCTGTGTTATTCCACATTGTGTTATTTCCTTTATAGTAGTCATTACTATTTAAAATCATTTTATTTGTTTTATTGTTGTCTGCTTTCCTGCATAGAGTAGAAGATTAATAAGATCAGGAACCCGCCTTTTTTTGTTGTTTATAGCTATTCAGTGGCTCATGTTTGTGCAAGAATGAGTAAATGGAACATTGAACGAATTAAAAGATACATAGAGGGCATAGGGGATTGGAAAAATATAGGAAGTGTGGAGCCAAAGGAGGATTATAAGTAAGAGGTAACATCAGCTCAATGAATATTTGAGAACTGTGTGTCATGGATGTACTAGGCACTAGAGAACGCATTTGTGTAAAAGATCCCCCCAGTAGGAGAAATCAATAAAAATAGATTGGGGAGAATGGATTAAAAAGGAACAAGACGAGAGGCAGTTTGGAGGCTTTCACAATAATCCAGGTGAGAAATAATTATGGCATTGTTTTGAGATGTGACGATGGGCATGGATGGAAATTGATAGAATCCAGAAGGACTTGAGAGGAGACTGGACTGAGCAAACTTTGTGATGTGTTTGTAATTTTTTTGAAAAGAGGAAGGATTACTAAAATTTGGGTAGCTAGATGGAGATTGAGCCATAATTAGAGATATAGAAGCCACCTGTATATAAATGACAGAACCATGGGATTTAATGAGTGCCTACGTGAAAGAACTTTGAAAAACACACATTTCTACAGGATAGGTAAATGAGATTTTAGCCAGAGGTACACTTGAAGAATCGGCCAAAAGGGAACAAATTAAAAGGGTATAGTGTTATGGATGACAAAGGAAAGGAACATTTATGAGAGAAAATGATCAATACAGTGAAATACCCCTGAGAGGTGGGATTAAATAAAAACTGGTAACCCATGAAAAAGCAGTTTCACTTATGGGATAAAGAGTTTAGGCATTCCTAGAAAGTTAAAATATTTGTTGAGGAAGTAAAGACATTAAGGAAAGAGCTAGCGTGAGATACGGATTCAAAGTAGGGGTTTTTATTGGGTATTTTAAGGGTAAAAGCTTTCAAAAATTGATGGTGCAGGGCAGATAGGGAGAGATTGAAGGGAAAAAATGAAGTCAAAAGGAGGAGAAATATAATGGAGGGAGAGTGGAGATGAAAATGGAACAAAATTGCTACGACATACTGATAACTGTTGGAGCTAGTTAAGGGTCTATTTTGGGTTTATAATAAATACTATGATTTCTGATTTAAAATAATCTGTTTGAAAATTTTCATTATGTAGTTTTTTAAAGTGAACCAAGTGCCTTGATATATAAGGAAGAATCACTTTTAAGTTGGTAGATGATAACAATTATTGAGAATAGAATATGCCAGCTGAGATATTCCTCAAAGGAGTTGTTTTTTTTTTTTTTTTTTTGAGACAGAGTCTCACTGTGTCACCAGGCTCCAGGCTGGAATGCAGTGGCACAACCTCAGCTCACTGCAACCTCCGCCTCCCGGGTTCAAGCAATTCTCCTGCCTCAGCATCCCGAGTAGCTGGGACCACAGGCGCGCGCCACGATGCCCAGCTAATTTTTTTGTATTTTTAGTAGAGACAGGGTTTCACCATATTGGCCAGGATAGTCTCGATCTCTTGACCTCGTGATCCATCCGCCTCGGCCTCCCAAAATTCTGGGATTACAGGCATGAGCCACCACGCCTGGCCAGAAGTTTTTTACACGCAGAAATATGAGGCTGCTCAAAGCTTTGGGGAAAAATTGGAATATCATCCCTTTCCTCCTGATCCTGAGGTTTTGAGGTAAGGGATAAAGGTCGTGACATCATCAGAGTATGACTGGTTTCAATTAAGGTATAGAAGAGAAGAGAATTAAAGAATGAGGATTTAGAGGAATTGCTCTGGAATGACTCCTTAAATAACAAAAGTTGGGATTTATTTTTCTTACGAGATTACTGGAAGGTTTTAGAGTCCCATTTTTTTAGGAATGGTATTTCATTTTTACTACAACTTTGTGAATTCAATATCATTTTATTCACTTATACAAATTTTCAGTGAAAATACTTGGGGCAAACATTTTAGGCTATCATTCATGTATATTCATATTTAAATAAAGGACAATCGGTTAATGAGTATTTTGGTTACAGGACCTGGAATATGTAGTAGGAGTGGGAATTGAGGAATGAGTATGACTTCACAAAATATTTCAGACAACATAAAAAGAATTGGTAACATTTTTAAAAAGGGTATCCTCTAATAAATATTAACAGTCATTCTTTTTTGGCTAAGGATAGGAAATTGTCAATACCATCATTTCTTTTTAAAAATGAGCAAATACATTAAATGTAACATGTATAATATGTAGTTGATGGAGTGAGAAAGGTGTTATATAAACTAGTTACTTAGAGATTATTTATAAACTAGTTGCTGAGTGATTATTTAGGAAAAAAATGATAGTTCATATAACCTAAAATATGTTTAAAGAAACTTTAAATCAGAAATAAATTATTTACTTATGGCCAAACCTGTTTTTAAATTTAAGGATCATCAGTGGGAAGCTGTTACTGTGCCGGAGGAAAAAGTACAAATATACAGCATTGAAGGTATTAAACTTGTTTTTTAAATGTAATTTTCTTCTCAGTTCTTACCCTATGGAACAAATGTTACATCCTTTCTGGGTTAACAAAATAGGCTAATGAAAGCAAAATCAGTATTTCCAGATGTTCACATTCAGAAATGCATCAAATTCCTTGATCCCATGTTTCTCTACTAATCTCCCAGCCCTACCCATGTACTTATTTCCTTCCATTTGGTCTAGAACCAGTGATCCACATTTGTCATTCTTGTCTCTATGTTCAAAGCTCCTCACCTTTCATCTCATTTGCTTGATTAAATATGAATATCTGGTTTCTCCAGTCCTGTAATGGGAACTGCATAACACTATGGACAAAATCAGACTAACGCTATTACCAATTCAGATATTAAGACATATTTTAATCATTTCGGTAGACATGTAGTAATTTCTTATGCTTTTTATTTGCATTTTCCTAATGATCAGCAATATTGAACGCCTTTTCATGTGCTTTCTGGCCATTCATATGTCTTCCTTTGTGAAGTATATATTTAAATATTTTGTTCATTTTTTATTGGACTCTAGCTCTTAGGTATCCTAGATTCCAATCCTTTGACAGATAAATGCTCTAGTTTTCTCCCAAACTGTATCTTGCTTATTCCTTTTAATGATGTCTGGTGAGCAAAAGCTTTAGATTTTGAGATCTACTTGATCTGTTTTTATGGTTATTGTTTTCTGTGACCCAAGAAATTTTTGTCTCCTCTTAAATTGTAATCTCAAATTAATATTTGATTGAGGTGTGATGTACAGATTGGAGGTTCATTTTTTCTTATGGATATGCGGTTATTACAGGATTATTGCTGTAAAGGCTTTTCTCTTCTACTGGATTTCTTTGGTTTCTTTGTTGAAAATCATGACTGTAAAAGTGGGTCTATTTCTTGGTGCTCTAATCTGTTCTATTTATCATAGATCTACTTGCTATTCTTTATGTCACTACCATACTGTTTTGATTATGATAGATTTGAGGTTAGTCTTGAAGTCAATTAGTATGTCTTCCAACATGGTGATTTTTAAAAGTATTGTTTTAGAAATTATAGGCCTTTTGAGCTTCTATATAAATTTTAGAGTTTGTCAATTGCTTCCTGGAATTATGACTCAGGTTTTAGATTAATATGGGGAGAAATAACATGTTAACAGTAGTAACTATTTTAGTTTATAAACATGGTGTATCTCCCCATTTGTTTAAGTCTTTGATTTCTCTCAACAGTGTTTCTTAGTTTTCATTATATAACGCTTTTGGTGAATTTATTCCCAAGTATTCAGTCTATATGACGATAAATAGAATTGATCTTTAATTTTACCAGTAATGGGATCTGCAAATAGACAGAGCTTTACTATTTCCTTTCTGATGCTTATGCACTTCCTCCCTCCCTTCTTTCCTTTTGTTGCTTTATTGCAATGGATAGAACCTCTAGTGCAATATCGAATAGAAGGGATAAAAGTGAACATCTTTGTTTGCATCCCAGTCTTGGCTTAGGAAAGAGCATTCAGTATTTTACCACCAAGCATGATGTTAGCTGAAAGTCTTTTGTATAACCTTCATCAGGTTAAGGACATTGATAACTCTTCATGTTTGTACATGCCTGTGAAACCATCATGGCAATCAAGTTAATAAACATACCAAAATTTCTTTATACTTTTGATGTATCCATCCTTCTCCTACTGTACCCCCAGGCAGTTACTAATGTTTTCTTTATTTTTGATACATTTACATTTTCTAGAGTTTATATAAATGAAATCATACAGTATGTAGCCATTTTTGTCCAGCTTCTTTCTTTTAGAATACTTTAAAAAAAAAAAAAAGATTCAAGCCTGTTGCATGTATCAGTTTGTTCTTTTTATTGCTGGGTGTTATCCTATTGTATAGATATTCTTCAATTGGCTTCTATATTCAGCTGTTAGTTAATGAGCATTTGTAATGTTCCCAGTTTTTAGCTATTATGAAATGCTGCTGTAAATATTCATGTATAATTTCTTAGGAGAATGTTTTTGTTTCTCTTAGGTAAATACTAAGGAGTTCAGTGGTTAGTTCAGACCCATAAGCATATGATTAGCTTTTGAAGGAACTTCTAAAATGTTGTCCAAAATGATTTTGCCATTTTACATTATCACTATCATCGTATAAGAGTTGCATTTGTTCTATGTCATTTCTAACACTTCTTATGGTCAGTCCATCCTACCATGTTGCCTTATTGCACTGGCTATATAATCTTCAGTACAATGTTAGTAGAAATTATGAGAGCAGACATATTTGCCTAGTTTATCATGTTGACGTTTGAGGATGGAGGGGGTATTTTTTTCTTCAATAATTATTTCATGGTGATGATTTCTCTAATCAGGTAAGAGTGGGTTGTTTGAGTATGGCACTTCCTCATCTCTCTCTTGCTGCCTCTCTTGCCATGTGACACACCTACTCCATTTTGCCTTCTGCAATGATTAAAAGCTTCCTGAGTTCCTCATCAGAGGCAAATGCTGGCACCATGCTTCCTGTACAGTCTGCAGAACTATGAGCCAAATAAACCTTTTTTAAATAAGTGGCCCTCTCTCTGATATTCCATTATAGCGGACTAATATAGCCTTCTTCTGAAAAGATCTGTTGTTTTCTCTCTTGATGAGTCATGTTGTTTTCTCTATGCATGTCAAATAATTTTATGATAGATAATGCATATAGAGGAACTATAGATGCTCCAGATGGTTCTTCTACCACAGGGGTTTCTTTTTTCTTCTTAGGCAGAGGGGCTTAAGGACTGATCTAATCATGGATGTTGGCCTGTGTTCTAGTTTTAAATTTACTCCTTGTCTTATTTGCCTCTGTTGCTCAGGTGTGGCCATCCCAGTCTGTTGACCATGAGCCTATTAGCTTTGTCTCTTCTGAACCTGAGAGACTATGGGAGACACAGTTCTGCCTTTTAGAGGATTCCAGCCCAGCTCGCCTGCCTTTTACTCTACTCAGTCCAAAATCCAGCAAATGTTTTGAGCAGGACACTGGGCATATGCCTGAGGATGATACCTGTATCAGGCAGTACATTGATTTTAAACCTGTGAGACTATTAGAGAGTTAACTCTGCCTTTTCACAGGTTTTGTCCAGCTCCTTGTGCTGCCCCACAATGAAGAGAAAGTTAGTTATGCCTTTAAAGCCTCTAAGTGTCCTGTTTGTTATTCCAGGGACTACTGCTCATTAAATACTTGCTTGTCTTTCTTATCTCTAGCAGAGATTCTCTTCTTAAGCCTACAAACAGAATTAGCAAATTTCCTTAGAGAAAAAAAGGCCAGAGATCTTGTTACATGTACAGCTCTCTGACACCTTTAAACATACAATATTTTAATCCTACTGATGTTTCAAAAGTGGATATTAGCCTGCCGCGATATACTACATTTTCCCCAGAAGTGGAAGTCTCCAGCTTCCAACTTTAAATCTCTCTCACTGATACTTGGCAGTCTTCCATGTTCATAGTTGCCATCCCTCTCCAGTTTTCTAACAGCTGCTATTTAAAATTTTAAATCATCCTTAAGAACTTGCCTTTTTGCTTTCACTATGATGTGTTAATTCAGAACATGAATTTTTCAGGTAACAGTGCCTATACATTTTGGCCCTTCAGACCCTCCATCTCCAGACATCTATGTATCTGTATCCTCCTTTATCTCTCCTGTAAACAGAAGATAGGTATCTACTCTTGTTGAAGGGTAATTTCTCTGAGTTCTTCATACACGTTATCCTAGTCTTTGCTCCATCAATTCATATTTCTTGTATCTTCTTTCTCTCACTCTCTCAGTACCTCTTTTCTCTCAGTATATCAACGGGCTCAAATGTCTACATCATAAAACAAAAAGTCTACTTTTATTCTGTGTCTTCCTTAAGCTATCTTTTTCCTCATTCATAACCAATTTTGAGAGAACAGTTTTTACTCTTTCCTTCTCTTTTTAGTCATTCTTATGTTATAAAATATTGATATATTGATATCCATAAATACTTGAAATTATGGCAAGCAACAAAACGAAGTTTTCTTGTATTTTAATAATACTGCTAAGTAATTAAAAAGGAAACCAGGCCATGATTTAGTCCAGACAGAGCAAATATCAGGAACTTCAACAAAGCAATCATTAAAATATAACAAATATTGATAAATTCCTATGTAAGTAGCCACAATATAGGTAGACAAATTTTTGTACAAATAGGCACAAAGCATTCAGCAAAATACATTTGAAGTAATTCTAATACCATGTGCTTGCAAGGAGTGAAAACAAATAGTACATTTAATATGATTTACAGCAAGCTACAGCAAAAAAAATCAAATGCATATCAGAGGAGTAAAACAGCCAAAATAAACTTAAGAATTATGAATGTTTTAATTTTCATCAAAACATGAAACATCATCTTGAAAGCCCACTAAATTTTCATCTCTGAAACCTGAAAACTTGTCACTGTTGAACTTTTAAAAAAACTACTGGCACTCTTTGAGTTTGAAACTATGCTTGCCACTACTTTAAAGCAATTGATAATTCTTAGTACCTTCCAAGGGTATTACTGTGAAAGTTTCATGACCATATACTTACAAAAGCAAATAAAACATTTTCTGCTTGGGCAGGCCTCATAAGAATCGGGACATTTTATAGCCTGTAGGGACATTTGTTCCTTAGGCCAGATCATGGGGTGGCCTGCAGAGCTTTTTCAGAAGTAGAAATTTCCCTACTTTCTGTGATTCTGCTCCTTCAGGGTGTTTTTCTCCTGCCCAAAAGTACATTTCAGGCAGGGGTGGAGACACTTCATTCAGCAATAGAATCCCTGCCAGAAGTAGGACAGGAGCTTGGTGGCCTCTGGTCTATAATACTAGGTGCATTAATTAGGTGCCAGGTAATTTTTTGATAACTTTTGTAGAGAGGGAGAGTGTGAATATTTCTTATAAACTGGTACTTGCTGTATTCTCTGTTTACTGGACAGGTAAGTTCATTGAGGCCAAATACTAGATCCGTTTCACCTCACAATTTCCTGACACTTAATTTTTATCAAATGTTGCTTATTGTCAACATATTTATAACAACTGTGGATTTAATAGAAATTGTTATATGCTTATGCCAAGAAATGTGGTAATTATAAAAGTTATTTTTGTTTGACTTTTTTAAATTAAGAAAATAATATTCTCAGATGTGTTCAAGGAATATTTTATTAAGAATCTGTTAGGATCCAGAATGTATTGGGATTCTAGCTTATTAGTCATGGCAGTATCCTGTAATTTATAGATCAGAACACTGAGACTAGCAAAGTTAAATTGACTTATTTGTTTACATAGGTAGGTAGTGCCACAATTGATTACTTTAAACACTGTTCAATATTGAGAGTTTGAATTTTGATTCCATTAATATGCTGTATCCATGTCTTATTTATAGTATACTTGCAAAGTGGTATCATAGAAATTCATATAAACTAATCAGTGTTATTTGTTTGTATACAGTGAGAGAATCAAAGAAGCTACTGACCATAACTCTAAAAAATACGGTAAAAATTAGTAAAAGAGAAGGGAAAGAATTGCTTTTGTATTTTGATGCATCACTAGAAATCACTAATGTGACTCAAAAAATTTTTGGTGCAAATAAACTTAGGGTAAGTGTTTAAACTTCCTAATAAATATTTACTATTTTCATAATTCTGGAAACACTCAGTTTGGTGCTATAAGTTTTATTGCATTTTTTTCCTTTCTAGAATTCTTAAAATGACATGTACATTTTAGTTCTTTAAATCTGTACTGTTGAATAGCCATCAGCTTGTTATTTATATCAATTAGAAAGTATCTCAAATGACAAAATTAGCAGCAGCTGCTCAAAATATTTAATGAATTTCTGCCAGGTGTTTAAAAAGTAAAATGAGAGAAAGCAGTGTTTTCAAGATTTTAAACATCATGAGAATTACATGATACATCAGAAGTAAATAATGGCATAGGGAACATGAGTTGTAGACATTGAAGAAAGAAAATACTCATAAAGAGTCGGGTTTGGAGATAGGCATTAATATCAATAGCCTTGAAATGGCCTTCGAAGTTAAAGGAGAGGATTTAGATTAAATACTTTCCAGGAATGTGAAAGACATTATGAGACAAATGTTGTTTAACCAAATTATGTTTGAGCCAAAATATATGCCAAAATATGTTTAACTGAGAATTCTAAAGTTATGCATTCATGTGATGTTTTAGGGAGATATTTAACTGACAAATTTGGATAGTAAAAAATATTTATATTGCAGAATATTAGATGTATTTGTGAGGAACACTTGTAGAGGGACCAAAATGACAGGCTAAGACGACTCGTTAATGGGGAGTAATTGAAATATTCTGAGAAGGTATTCATATATGCAAAGTAATGACTTGGAATATTTGGCAGTTTTGGAGGAAAACAGGAAATAATTTCATTAAGTGGAAATAAAATGACATATGAAAAATTGAAAGAAAATGAAGAAAATGGCATCACTGTGAATTGATTTAATTTTAGGAATCTATCAGAAAACAAGGTATTTCCGTTGCCAAAACATCAGTGCATATACTTTTTGATGCAAGTGGATCACAGGTATGTCTCAGACTTACTTGATTTTTATCACTGGGCTAAGTTTAACCATAACTAATAGAACGGTAATAAAGTTGATGTTGGAGGTGATTATAGAAAACAAATGGTCTCAATATAAACAGTACCCCAATATATGATTTTTAAACACGCTTTTAATAATTTTAGTGTAAATAATAGAGTTATTAATAAATAGCAGTGTGGTAACTTTAAAAATTTTAAAAAGCAGTAAATGTCCTTCCATTAATGCCAAGGTTGTTTTATGGCTATTAGAGTTTGAAAGTATGGATACTTTTTGTTGGGTCCCTTTGCAAAAGTTATAATAGCACATGGATGAAAAAGGGAAATAATTGATAGCTGAATATGTGAGATGAGTAGGAGCTTTATTAAGACATCCAGTGATTTTTGAATACTTTCTGTGGTTTGCAGTTTTAAATACTTTTTTTTATCTTATTCTCCAACAGATTCTAGTGCCAGAAAGTCAGATCTCTCCAGTCGGAGAAGAACTCGTTAGTCTAAAAGAAAAATCTAAGTCCCCAAAGGAATTTGCTAAAACTTCAAAATATATCAAAAACAGTAACCAAGAGAATAGAAACAACAGTCAGCTTGAGGTAAAGATGGTGTCAAAATACTGGTTTATAAAACTACCACTGATCAAATCATTACTACGTATGAGTACAGAAAGGAGAATCTAGAATTTATATATTAATGGCCTTGATCAATCACATTTGAGAGTTTTACTCCTACCTTTGACAAACGCAAACAAAATATAGTGTCTTAGCAAATTGTGTGCATGTATAGGGATTGAAACAAGATACACTTTACACCAGTAAATTACAAATTAAAGATAGATAAGAGAACATTCTTCTTGTATTTATCCTTTTTGTTCTATCGTTGCATTTAGATATAATATGGAAATGTATAATCTGTTTATTTGCCTGAGGGGAAAAAAAAAAGAGTATGAGGTTCTTTTTCTTATTTTCTTCCTCTTCCATTGAAGGACCTCCTCTAGATCACACCCAAGAGAACCATTTCTCATACTCCACCCCCCCAGCACCATACCTTGTTGTGACACTTAACATTGTTGACAGCCCTCTGTTTCTTAAGGCCTTCTCCTTCAGCTTCCACTATATATCACAGTTCTCTTTCTGCTTCTGTTACTACATCAGAAATACGTTCTCTCCGTCTCTCCATACCTCCTTGTAGGTTTGCTCTAAACCGAAAACCTTGATATCCAGCTTTTGGAACATTGTGTTGCCTTCTTTCTTAGAGAGCTTCTTTGATGTTCATAATATGAGCTCTTAAAATGTAGTGGACTTTTCTTCAAAGTTCTAAAGCTGCATCTCTGCTTGTTTTTCTGGATTTCCCTTTGTGTATGACTTCAAGCCCTTTTCTGAAGTCTGAGCTCAAACATTTTATCTTTTGCCTAAAATCTGCATCTATCTGTATTTCAGTAATATTGTTATTTATTTATTTATTTATTGGGCAGTATGCTTGATTCCAACCTCTTCTCCCCTTACATCTGGAATCAAGGTGCTTGTGATTATTCTTTCATAAGGACTCTGTTACCACTGTTTTATCCTGTGAGCTACCCCATATAATCAGCAATTTTTCTTAAATATCAGTACCTTGGTAGCATTCTTCTGCTCCGAAAGCTTTGTGATTTCTCTATTCATCCCGCTGACTCAATAAATTTTGGCTCACTTCTGAGACTTCCTATAATTTAATTTTACTCTTTCTATTAAAACTCTAGTATGTGTTCTCCCCTTTTGTAAGGTAGTTTGCTTTACTGTTTTTTTGCATGCCATGTTCATTCATGCCTCAAGATCTTCATTGACATTATTTCTTTTTTTTTGCCTTTACTCATCTAAAGCATGCTTAACATTTGCTAGTCTTGTTCATTTTCATTCTTTATTTTTGCTTTCCTTTTAAAACATTTTACATATCCTTTCTTTTTTGTAGGAAGTCCTTTTTTATTGTACTTTAAGTTCTGGGATACATGTGCAGAAAATGCAGGGTTGTTACATGGGTATACACATGCCATGGTGGTTTGCTGCACCCATCAACCCGTCATCTACATCAGGTATTTCTCCTAATGATATCCCTCCCCTAGCTCACCACCCAACAACAGGCCCCGGTGTGTGATGTTCCCCTCCCTGTGTCCTTGTGTTCTTATTGTTCAACTCCCACTTATGAGTGAGAACATGTAGTGTTTGGTTTTCTGTTTCTGTGTTGGTTTGCTGAGAATTAAGGTTTCCAGCTTCATCCATGTCTCTGCAAAGGACATAAATTCATCCTTTATTATGGCTGCATAGTATTCCATAGTGTATATGTGCCACATTTTCTTTATCCAGCCTATTAATGATGGGCATTTGGGTTGGTTTGAAGTCTTTGCTATTGTAAATAGTGCTGCAATAAACATACGTGCATGTGTCTATAGTAGAATGATTTATAATCCTTTGGATATGTATACAGTAATGGGATTGCTAGGTCAAATGGTATTTCTAGTTCTAGATCCTTGAGGAATGGCCACACTGTCTTCAACTTTCTTTTTATTTATTTTTTGAGATGGAGACTTGCTCTGTTGCTCAGGCTGGAGTGCACTGGTGCTATCTCCGCTCACTGCAACTCTGCTTCCCAGAACCTCTGCTTCCCAGGTTCAGGCAATTCTCCTTTGTCAGATTCACAACAAGCTGGGATTATAGGCACCCCCACCACACATTACTGATTTTTGTTTTTTTGTTCTAGTAGAGACAGGGTTTCTCCTGTTGGCCAGGCTGGGCTCAAACTCCTGACCTTAGGTGATCTGCCTGCCTCAGTCTCCCAAAGTGCTGAGATTACAGGCATAAGCCACTACACCCAGCCCATTTTTGCTTTCTTCATGGAGTTTTGCCTGATTATTTCAGTTTTTACTAATGTTTCATCTTTAGGTAACTATAACTTTCACAGGCACTTCCATACATTTTGGCATATTTATGTTATTCACTGTTTTCTTTTTTAGTCTTTTGTTAAATACCTGCTCTGTTTTCAATAAGGATGAACTGTTTGAGACTTTTATTTGAAAAAGTAACTTTTCAGGTCTCACTATACCACTAAAAACTGTTAATTTCTCTACGAAGAATCTATTGGCTCAGAAGCTTGTTTTCTAGTTAATCTTAGAATTTTCTTTTCTCTTATCCTTTCCATCCTTCCCTCACATCCCTTATGCATACCCATTCACAACTCCATCAGTTTTTTTCCCCTGTTCTAGGGACAGGTGCCTCAAAGCACAATAAAACAGCTCTTTTATGCCTCTAAGTAGTAGGTCACCATCTACTTCTTTATATGGAATCCTCTGAAACTCCTATCTCCTGCAGTCCCTGCCTCTGCTTATCTACTTCTGTCCCTCTTATAAATCAGTGTAAGGTGATATGGGAAAACACAGATCTTTACTGGAACCAGTAGGTTATGTGCCACTGAATCTGTGAATTCCTGCAGCTAGTTCACTCCAGTTTAGCCTTCACAGATTATTAGTACAATTTTCAAAAATAGGTGAATGTTTTGAAGAAAGCTTGACATGAAAGCACTCACAATAATTTTATATAAATATGTAATCCATACATTATCCTCATGAAGTAGAATAGGAAATTGTGGGCTGTGGTTAACTAGATAAACTCAATATTGATAAAATATTTTCAGCTAGCATATAAAGGTACTATACTTAATGGTATGGATATTTTATAAATATTCTTTAAAGCAATATTCCTTACTTGTTTTAGCTACTTATTTAATTCCAAACATGATGAGAACCTTTCATATCAGCCTAAAACATGGAAATGTATGGATATTGTGGTGTTTATTTAAAAACCATGTATCTTTGGCATGTATCAAGGCAAAATGTTATAAGTAAAATTGTAGGATATTTAATTTCAACAAGATTGTGTTTACAGTGGTTGTTTTTCATTATGGTTTCAGATAATTACTCCTAGTAAAAGAAAAATGTCTGAAGCATCAATGATTGTTTCTGGTGCAGATAGATACACTATGAGAAGTCCAGTACTTTTCATCAACACATGTAAGTTTTACCGTTTGAAAAGATTTCTAACAATTATTTTAAAGAAGGCATTTTTTAATTTAAGGAAATTCTGAACATAATTTACCTAAAGGATGAGTTTGGTATATAAAAATTGATAAAATATGAACCATAAATGTCTTCTATTGGGAAGAAAAGTAATCCTAAGATTTGAACAGAACAATGTTCAAAATACTAATATTCAACATTAATAACTTATTGTAATTTAAGCAGGACACAGCATATCTTTGGTTAAAACATTGAATTAGCCAGGCCAGGTGGGCTTAGTTCCCCACTTCCAGCTGTGTACTTTGTACAGATGATCCTCTAGCTAAATTTGGAACCAGTTTGTTTTCTATAAGTGGCACTAAAGTATCTTATCAAGTTGTTTAGAGGATTAAATAAAAATCATTCATTCAATAAGGAATCTAGTGAAACTTTAAACAGTGTCTGATACATACTAAGAGCACAATAAAAGTTTTAAAAGTTTTATTACAAGTATTAATACTCCATTACTGCATTAATACTCCAGTATTGCAAGTATTAATGCTCTGTTATTACAAGTTATTGGTACTGTATTCTAGTTTCTTTAAATAAAGTCTTAGTCTATATGACAATTTAATATTGACCTTCTGTTCTTAAAATCTAGTTGCCTACTGGCTAGTTGCCTAGTACTGACAGGTTCCTCTGTGGCATTGATCACATTGGTTTGACGTACTTTTGGGCCCCTGCCGTGACAATGATCATGTCGGGTCCCCTCATGGGGCACCAGCTGTGGTGTTGATCTCATTGGTTCGCTCCATGTTCAGGCCCCTGCTGTGATGATGATCATGTCGGGATCACCACCTGAGACATTTATCACCACCTGGGGGTGGGGGGTCAGTCCTGCAAACTCTAACTGCACAACAGATGAATAAATACACTAAAACACGCAAAGTACAGTGGGCTAGGGAGGTCATCAGCAGCTCTCAGAGGGCAATTGCAGCTACCCGACTTCTATTAACTGTTCTTCCTTGCATTTATTCAGTATAGATTTAATGACAGAGGTTCTGAGTTCACACACTTGTAGATAATTAACATGATTAAAAGTGGTTTTATGAATGATAAAAGCTTTGGTTCCAGGGCTGAGAACAAACACCATTAATTGGTAATCCCCCTTCAGCCTCCCTGAGAGAGCCATCTGGCACAAAGTTTACATAAGTACAAAGGAATGTGGGGTAAACAGACTTAACTGGGGAAGCTTCTATTATCCATAACCTTCACCCTATGACCTAATACTCTAAGGTGAGAATAGGTAGCCTTCAGTCTGATCCATTATTACGAGTTAATGAAAAACCTTTTAGCCTTGCAAAAGGTTTGAGACTGTATCTTAAAGCTTTCCTTAATGTTTCTCTTAATATTTTGCCAACCACCCTGAGTGAATCCCAATACTTCTCAGACTTAATAGTCCAAAATTAATCTTTCCACCCTTCCTGCACATTTTTCCTTCACTTCTTTTCTTGGTAAATGGCATCAGTATTTACTTACGTAAGCCAGAAACCTGGGAACCATCTAAGAATCTTCATTTCTTAACCTCCTCATCTGAAAAGTACCTCAATAATAGCAACAGGTATAAAAAGAAAAATCTGTAATCTTTGTCCTTCTTTTTAGCAATTCCACCACAGAGAAGAAAAATTAAACCACCACTGCAAATGACAAGTTCTGCAGAGAAATCTAGTGTATCTCAAACATTAGAAAATAGAGTGGATAGTGCTGCATCACTGAAATCTAGACCATCGGAAGGAAGACATAGAAGAGATAATACAGACAAAGTAACTTTACTTGAAAGTATTTTTAAAAATTTTTTTCTAGTAATTGTGGAAATATATATTGAGCTGACTTCTTTTGCAAACAGCAAGGGTCTCATTTTGTTTAAATAATTAACTTTTTTCCCCCTAAATATCATTTATTGCCCTTGAAAGTAGGATCCTTCTGGCATATGACTCATTTTCCGTGCTTATGGTAAAATTAATGAATATAACTTGATTTACACATTTGGGAGCATAAATGAACTTGCTGGAATTAGTTTATTATACAAATTAGTAACTGCTATGGGGAAGGTTCTGGTATAGAAATGTGAGATACGCGTGGACTGTGTCCTTAAGTTTCTGAAAATCTGGCATGAAAATTGAAAAATTACTAAGTTAAAATATACTATAAGCATTCTCAGATGTACAAATATAGGATGCAGTAGGAACCAAGTAGAGGGGCAAGTGCCTAACTCCGTAGCTAGAGGTGAGGGTGAAGATCAGGTTATGCTGTTTAAGAAAATATGGAGAGTGAATTGACTTTTCAAAGGTCAATAAAGAGTCAAATGAATATTTAGGAGAAAGGCATTTATTCCAGGTAGTTGAAAAGACAGCAGGAATGGATAAGAGAGAATAGTTTCTTGGAGAAACAGGAGGTGATCAGATGCAGAAAAGTTTGTAAATGAGGAACACCTAATAGCTTTTGTTGACTCTGAAGTGTGAAGGTGGTGATTTTCTCCTGGAGATCTGTTGAAGTAGAGGGTTCAGGGATATGTAAAGCTATGTGCAGGGTAATGGAGAGGCCTAAGAATAAGTGCTAGAAAATGTTGAGGGCCAGCTTAAACATATGAATTTTATCATAGCATAAATATGTTCATAAATATGTACAATTTTCTCAAAACTTAGTAGCCTTGGTGTTAATAGTAAGATGAGAACAGATGGTACACTCTTTTTTTTGAAAATTTAAGTGGGTATATGGCAGAAAGATAAAGGGTATGAGGGTTGACGATATTAAAAGAAAATAGTCAAAGTAATGATTTAAGTTGTCTAAGCGTTTGTTAATAAGAGGACACAATAATAGGGGGAGACTTTAACACTGCTTTGTCAATATTAGATCAGCAAGATAGAAAATTAACAAGGATATCCAGGAATTGAACTCAGACCTGAACCAAGCAGACCTAATAGACATCAACAGAATTATCTACCCCAAATCCACAGAATATACATTCTTCTCAGCACCACGTCACACTTATTCTAAAATTGACCACATAATTGGAAGTGAAACATTCCTCAGCAAATGCAAAAGAACAGAAATCATAACAGTCTCTCAGACCACAGTGCAATCAAATTAGAACTCAGGATTAATAAACTCACTCAAAAATCGCACAACTATATGGAAACTGAACAACTTGCTCCTGAATGACTAATGGATAAATAATGATATAAAGGCAGAAATAAAGATGTTCTTCGAAACCAATGAGAATGAAGACACAACATACCAGAATCTCTGTGACACTTTTAAAGTAGCTTCTAGAGGGAAATTGATAGCACTAAATGCCCACAAAAGAAGGAAAGATCTAAAATTGACACCCTAACATCATGATTAAAAGAGCTAGAGGAGCAAGATCAAACAAATTCAAAAGCTAGCAGAAGACAAGAAATAGCTAAGATCAGAGCAGAACTGAAGGAGATAGAGATACAAAAAACCCTACAAAAAATCAGTGAATCCAGGAGCTGGTTTTTTGGGAAAAAAAAAAATAACAAAATAGATAGATGGATAGCCAGACTAAGCCAGGTGCCCCCCTCCCGGCATCTACAGCCACACCACTCTGATCATGGAAGCTAAGCAGGGTCGGCCTTGGCCAGTACTTAAATGGGAGATGGATAGCCACACTAACAAAGAAGAAAAGAGAAGAATCAAATAGATGCAATTAAAAATGATAAAGGGGATATCACCACCAATCCGACAGAAATACAAACTACCATAAGAGAATACTACAAACACTTCTGTGCAAATAAACCAGTAAATCTTGAAGAAATTGATAAATTCCTGGGCACTTATACCCTCCCAAGACTAAACCAGGAAGAAGTTGAATCCCTGAATAGACCAGTAACAAGGTCTGAAACTGAGGCAACAGTTAATAGCCTACCAACCAAAAAAAGTCCAGGACCAGGCAGGTTCACAGCCAAATTCTACCATAGATACAAAGAGGAGCTGGTACCATTCCTTCTGAAACTATTCCAAACAATACAAAAAGAACGGATCCTCCCTAACTCATTTTGTAAGACCAACATCATCCTCATACCCAAACCTGGCAGAGATACAACTAAAAAAGAAAATTTCCGGCCAATATCCATGATGAACATTGATGAAAAAATCCTCAATAAAATACTGGCAAACCAAATCCAACAGCAAATCAGAAAGCTTATCCATCATGATCAAGTCGGATTCATTCCTGGGATGCAAGGCTGGTTCAATATATGCAAATCTATAAATGTAATTCATCACATAAACAGAACCAAAGACAAAAATCACATGATTATCTCAATACATGCAGAGGTCTTTGACAAACTTCAACAGCCCTTTATGCTAAAAATTCTCAAACTAGGTATTGATGGAGCATATCTCAAAATAATAGCAATTTATGACAAACCCACAGCCAATATACTGAATGGAATTTATGACAAACCCACAGCCAGTATCATACTGAATGGGAAAAAATGGGAAGCATTCCCTTTGAAAACTGGCACACAATAAGAATGCCCTCTCTCACCACTTCTATTCAACATAGTATTAGAAGTTCTGGCCAGTGCAATCAGGCAAGGAAAAGAAATAAAACGTATTTAATTAGGAAAAGAGGAAGTCAAATTGTCTCTATTTGCAGATGACATGATTGTATGCTTAGAAGACCCCATCATCTGAGCCCAAAACCATCTTAAGCTGATAAGCAACTTCAGCAAAGTCTCAGGATACAAAATCAATGTGCAAAAATCGCAAGCATTCCTATACACCAGTAATAGAGAGTCAAATCATGAGTGAACTCCCATTCACAATTGCTACAAAGACAGTAAAATACCTAGGAATACAAATAACAAGGGATGTGAAGGACCTCTTCAAGGAGAACTACAAAACACTGCTCAGGGAAATAAGAGAGGACACAAACAGATGGAAAAACATTCCATGCTTATGGCTAGGAAGAAGATCGTGAAAATGGCCATAATGCCTAAAGTAATTTATAGATTCAGTGCTATCCCCATTAAGCTACGATTGAATTTCTTCACAGAATTGGAAAAAAACCACCTTAAACTTAATATGGAACCAAAAGAGAGTCCGCATAGCCAAGACAATAGTAAGCAAAAAAAAAAAAGAAAAAAAAAGCTGGAGGCATCACGCTACCTGACTTCAAACTATACTACAAGGCTACGGTAATCAAAACAGCAATACTGGTACCGAAAGGGAACAGAATAGAGGCCTCGGAGGCAATGCCACACATCTACAACCATCTGATCTTTGACAAACCTGACAAAAACAAGCCATGGGGAAAGGATTCCCTATTTAATAAATGGTATTGGGAAAACTGGCTAGCCATATGCAGAAAGCTGAAACTGGATCCCTTCTTTACACCTTATACAAAAATAAACTCCAGATGGATTAAAGATTTAAATGTAAGACCTAACACCATAAAAACCCTAGAAGAAAACCTAGGCAAAACCATTCAGGACATAGGCACAGGCAAGGTCTTCATGACTAAAACACCAAAAGCAAAGGCAGCAAAATCCAAAACAGACAAATGGGATCTAATTAAAGAGTTTATTCACAGCAAAAGAAACTATCATTAGAGTGAACCAGCAACAGAATGGGAAAAAAGTTTTGCAATCTATCCATCTGACAAAGGGCTAATATCCAGAATCTACAAAGAACTTAAACAAATTTACAAGAAAATAAAATCCCATCAAAAAGAGAGCAAAGGATATGAACAGACACTTCTGAAAAGAAGACATTTATTCTGCCAAAAAACATAACAAAAAGCTCATCATCACTGGTAATTAGAGAAATGCAAATCAAAACCACACTGATATACCATCTCATGCCAATTAGAATGGTGATGATTAAAAAATCTGGAGACAACAGATGCTGGAGAGGATGTGGAGAAATAGAAATGCTTTTATACTGTTGGTAGATGTATAAATTAGTTCAATCATTGTGAAGACAGTACGCGATTCCTCCAGGATCTAGAAACAGAAATACCATTTGACCCAGCAATCCCATTACTGGGTATATACCCAAAGGATTATAAATCATTCCATTATAAAGACACATGCACACGTCTTTATTTCTGCATTGTTCACAATAGCAAAGATTTGGAACCAACCCAAATACCCATCAATGGTAGACTGGATAAAGAAAATGTGGCATATATACACTATGGAATACTATGCAGTCATAAAATAGGATGAGTTCATATCTTTCACAGGGACATACATAAAGCTGGAAACCATCATTCTCAGCAAACTGACACAAGAACGGAAAACCAAATACTGCATGTTCTCATAAGCAGGTGTTGAACAATGAGAACACATGGACACAGGGAGGGGAACATCACACACTGGGGCCTGTCGGGTTGGGGGGCTGGGAAGGGATAGCAGGGAGTGGGGCTTAGGGGAGGGATAGCATTAGGAGAAATACCTAATGTAGATGGTGGGGTGATGGATGCAGCAAACCACCGTGGCACGTGTATACCTACGTAACCTGCACGTTCTGCACATGTACCCCAGAACTTAAAAGTATAATAAAAAGATTATTTTTTAGTTGTATCGCATGGTACTAAATGTTGTAAGATGATAAGCCTCTTAGCTAGGATTGTGCTTACCTATTATCAGGAGAATCCCTCTGTCATTGTGACAACCCAAACCACACCTGCGTATTTCCATAATGTTCCCCTCCCAGTGTGGAGAATCATTGGCTAGAGTTAGAAGGAAAGGCAGCCAGGATGAGGCAAAATATCTTAGACTAAAGGGTTTATTTTCTGATAATAGTAGCAGATTTGTATTTGATTTGGATTAAGTGTGTATCTCTGGCTATGGAAATAGGGAAGCTTGCTGTAGGAAAGAAGTTACCTGGGCAATGCAATAGATATTGTTGTAAATAATTACTAAACAAAAATCATCCTCTTCAATATCTGATAATTCTGAAGAAACTGGAAAAGTGAACTATAAGAAAGAACAGACCATATCAAAATCGATAAAGCAGGCTGTGTAACCAATAGCAACAGGAAAGATTTGTCATGGAGAATCTAGAAATTGTCAGTTACAGATAAAAATTGAATTATTATGCTAGCTATGGATGTGATCAGAAAATGTATGTGATCATCTGCCTCCTTGTCAGTAGTGACAGTTTTCTTGTGTTTTAGGATGGAGAATTTTCAAAAATGGACATAACATTTATGAAATACATGAAAATAATATCCAATTTTTCATAGCAAGGCAGATTTATTTTAAAAGACTCAGACCTTAATACGTTGATGTTTAAGTTGTTTTCATCTAACATCTTAATTCAAGTTTACATTAACATGTTTCCTGTGTTTATAGCATGTTAAAACCACTA